CGCAATGTTCAAAAAGTAAAACATTTAAAGCACGTACAGAAAAAAAACATTCAAGAACTCCAAAATACACATCCTATTCTTGTCTTGAAATTTTAAATAAAAATATGCATGTAATCAATGGATACGCCCCGCTGGAGAGCGCTGTTTCATAATGAGATGTTCTACAAGCATCTAAAGGCATTCACAACCATATCTCAACATAGCTTTTTAAAACAGGCTTTTTAAAAGGAAAATTTCCATGCAAATTAAAAACCTGAAATGCTATGTACACTTTGTCACTTCAATTTCTTTTTTATTCTGTATATCCCAAGTTTAATGTATGCCACAGCAGTGGATTCAAAGAAATCTTTCATTTTCCTTCTTGGTTCATTAAGCCTTGGGACTACTAGTTGAATGTTTCATGATTTAAAATTTAATATAAATATATATATATATTTTTACATCTGTGTAAGAGCAATCTGGGCACTCAGCGTGACAGCAGAAGCATTCAAGTCACAACCTTCCTGAACCCCACTAAGTTAGCAGGCGATGCATTTTAGGTTTCAAATTTGAAAAAAAAAGAAAAGCAATATATTTTAAATTTCTCAAAGAACCTGAAAATTACAACCTTGGAATTATGCCTCACTGAAGAAGCAAACCACAGCTAACAAGAATTCAAGTGTGCTAAGATTTTTGTTTGATATATTTGGGATTATTGTCCACCATCCTTATAAGTGTTCCATTGTAAATAATTGTATTTCCTCAGAAATTTAGAACAAGCATGGCTACATGACTGTTATATAACTTAAACACCAGCATTACAGTTACATTTGCCTTTGTATCCTGCTCTCTATGTGTAATTTGCAAATACAGTACAGTATGTCCAATTAAGAAAAGACAATCACTTTTGTGATTTGAAAAAAGCTACAGCTACAGAACAATAATACTCAAAATTATTATAACTTTAAAACAGATGACTGATTGGTTTCTCGTTATCCCCAATTCCCTGTCCCCCCCCATGTGTATGTGTGTAAATTTCAGGTACCATTTGGATTCGTGTTCAATAATGAACACTATAGTAATCTACCACTTCTGTCAACATCATTTTGAAGGCAAAACAGTTAAATGCAATCTCTCCTTCATATTAAAAAAACAAAACATAAAACTACACTACAAGCTTGAAACATACAGCACTTAAAACATTTTCAGATGTTCAACTGTACATTTATCAGTCAGAAGAACAAACTTTGTCATGGGCCAGATTTCCATTAGAGTATTTATTACAAAACAAATTGCTATTCATGTACAATTTTACCTAAAAGGTCTTTGTGTGGAAAAATGTACAAAAAACAGACTGGTGTGGGGTACTAATATTATTTTAATCAATGGATGAAGGAATCTTAACAGCCCTTTCTCTCACATTATGCTTTTGTTGACCAAATATTTCTGGCATAGCTATGGACAATAAACTGAATTTGAATTTCAAGTGAATCCCAATTCACTTACTGGATACTGCAAAGGTAATGCCAAAATTTGAAGGCGCTAACCTGTCCTGAAATTACACCATTAGTTTTAAACATCTTATTCAGTAAGGTGCACATCAGTTATTTGCCCAATATGGTCATCTTTATATTTTAGTCTTTTACACAATTTAATAGACCCAATGCAGAAATCAGAAGACACCAAACATTTTAAAAGCATTATTAAACAACTTTCTTTCTGAAGGTTTTTACCAACTAGAATGGCAACACATTGGTGAGCACTGTGGTCTCACAGCTCCAGGGTAGTTTTATTTTACTTAAACCTTATTTATAATAACATTCCTAGTGTTTTGTTTTATAATTTTGTCTAATCAAGCTCATAGACCATAAGTGCATAAAACATTTGCCCCCTCATGTCTTACAGTCCTCTCTTTGGTGTTGGAAGAAAAAACAGAACATTCCTGCTGCCCCCAAAGGCAAACTATTAAAAATAATGGGTGCCCTGAATTAAAGGGGTCATAAATCATCTCTCTGGCAAATTGTAAAACAATGTGAGACTTTTTACAAAAGCACAGTCATAAAAAACCTTCCAAAATACACAATAATGTGATAGAAATATCTACTAAAAGAAATTTAGTTAGGGAGGTTGAAGAGTTGGGAAAATGTATGGCTTTGTATTGCATGTCAAAACCATACTGAAAGATCACTGAGGAAAAGCAAATCATTTTTCTCATTTTCTTCATTCTTCATTCTCCAAACTACTACAGACGGATTTCCTTTTTGAACTAAACAACTGATAAATTGCTTTGGGGATGAACAGTGCGATGTGAGGAAACACTTTCTAACTTGAATTATTTCTTCAAGAAATGAAAACAATTTATACGATACTCCCTCAGTCAAATGACTTCAAGAACTTTTAATAACATTCAAACAGTAGTTAATGAAAACTTTTTTTTTCATTTTGATTCCTTTCAAAATATTGGAACAGACTGACATTTTACCACCATGAAGTGGTAGATTCATTCTTTTTACCAAGGGTAAAACAGTCTTGACATGCTATTGATTCATTTCATGCTAGATTTTTAAAAGGGATTCCCAGAATTTAGAAACAGTCATAGTATGTTTGCCACCAGGTGCGCACTTTAAAAAGTGACAGTAAACTGACCACCAAGCACAGCATACAAAACCCCTTGTTATTTCCCTTGAGGACATATTATAGGACACCCACAAAAAATCACTAATAAAACATCTACTGTACCACAAGGCTTTCTGGCAAGATGTTATTCTTTATCATTATGGCAAAGGCAATACAAATTTCTGTTCTATCGCTTTAAATGAGGACAACTTTCACTGTCCACCATAGTCCCACAGATATAAAACATTATCAGTATGAATATTTCCCAACCTTATGCCTGTAGACATAATGAATACCCTTCAATTTTTATCCTTAAAAAATGGATGAGGCATTAAAATCCCAGTACCCAGTAAATCCCAGTAAATCCTAGTGACCCAGCACCAACTGCTTGGCTTCAGAACTAGTCCCATGTAAGTATATTGTTTAAATGAACAGGTGTCTGGAAATACAGTGTAGTCCAATGGTAAGAATGCTCATTATAAAGAGGACATTATATAAATATAGCTTCCTACGTCTGTATAATTATTTAGCAGCTTAGGCTGCATTAATCAAGTTGAAGTCCTCCTGGCTCCATACCTAAAGTAAGGTATTCTGAATCCTTGGGCAAAGAAAACTAAAAAATATGCAAGGGTAAAAAACTGTTAAGGTTTCAATTGAGTAATTAAGTGCTCGATAAGATAGGATGTCCCTTGGATCTGGATTGGAAGACATTAAAATATTTAGATATTGGTTCACTTTAGTTGATATGTTACACGATATCAGTTTCGATTTGCTTGAATATCACAATCCTTTGTTTTACTACACTGAAAAAGTTACAGATTTTTCCCCCACCATCTTGCTAGTTTCATGTTTCTTCCTTCATCCTTCAGTTCCCTTCCTCTCCACTTTCCACTTTTTTTTTTCTTTCCTTAAGGTACGTGCCACTATATTGGGACTTGCCACACAATAGCTCAGAAATGAGGATTTTTCATCTTGCTAACCACTGTGACAACTGAGTGAAAGCAAAAGAAATCCATCTTTTTCAGTCCTGTGCACAGATGTCCCCGATGCTGTTCTCTAAACTGTTTCAGTCTGGAGAGCGGAGGAGAGTCTCTTATAAGAGGGACTGTCACATATGCGAGGAAAAAAATATAAAGGACAAATTGAAGCAATGTTAAGCAGCTGAAGTGAAAAATTAATTTAAGCATGACTTGAAACAGCCCCTTTTGAGATAAGACTGAATACCTCTATAGCAAAGGAAGGACAATCCCAATGTCAAAAATCATCTGCAAGAAAATCAAACATTTAATTGTGATGGGGTTCTTTTTTTCACAGGATTTTCCTTATCCCTCAAGTGCATACCAGTTTCGAGGTTATCCTCTGATTTGGTTAATGTCAGTGCATTAAAATACATTTTTACAAGTCAGAGTGAAAAAGACACTTGCATTTATACAGCCAAATTCAGCAAAAAAATAGATAACAGAATCCTGCTCAATTCAGTTAAGAGCTACCTGTAGAATCACAGCACAATAGGGACCTACACTAAAAACAAAGTGGAGGCAACAAGATGGCTTTTGCTTTCTTTAAGCAGTGCCAAAAGGCCTGCAGCTCCACACTAGCTATATAACATGAGTTTATCATCAAATAAGGGAGAATCCTGAGTCACAGCAGCAGTGTTATGGCAAGTGCTTACCTATCCAATTTCACATCACTTCACCCCTCTGCCTAAACATCTGAAACAGCAAACCCCCATTTCATAAAAAAGTCAAATCAATCTTTGTCATG